CACACAAACTCATACACACACGCACACACACTCATACACCACACACACTCATACAACACACTCACACATCAATTAACACACACACACTCAACTCACACACCCCACACACACACCACACCCACCCACACACAACACACACACCACAACACACACACAACACACATCACACACACAACATGCACACATGTGGTAATGCTTTTATTAACAGCTATCAAAGTCAAGGGTATTTCTCAGAATGGTCTGTAATATACCACTGTGGATAAAATACTTAGCCTTTTCTTTGAACACTTCTGAGTGGAGTGGTTTTTCTAATTCATTAATTTTATCGCACTCCAGTACATAATGACGCAGGGAGTAGGACAATAAACCATCTGGCACAGTTTACATTTCTTTTGGTCTACATCTGGTGGTGGTTATCTATACTGCCAAAGATACTGTAACCCAGCCGGAGCCGGGCGGTAGTACATCCAAGAGTCGCTTATTTTGTTGGATGCACCATAAGACATGAGTCTCCACCTGCATGATAGAATGATGATAGATGGACTCACTGGTGTCAATCTCCCCTGAGCCATAAGTCCATAACTTTCGCTGAAGTTCTTTCGTATTATTGTTCTCAAACTACTACTGACAAGCCAAGAAAAGTTAATCTACTCCCATCTCTTGAAAGCATACAGCTTAGCTAATTTAATCAGTTCTATCATGGCAACTGAAGACCCATGTGAGATGGATCCACAGCATGAGCACTCTGACTCCACTGTCCCACTAATCCTAACCATACCTGTGACTGCTTCTGACACAAGCAGCCACAATTTATGCTTAATGTGTTGAGATCATTATGGATGACAGAGAAATCAGTTACAATTAAACTGTCAATCTTGGATACATAGATTCATTTCCATGCAAGGAGTATGGCAAACAGTATCTGTTCGAAGGGTAAGGCCCCAATTATTGCTGCGTGCCCAATTTCTTTAAGAGAGCCATCACACTGACGACAAACAGCAGCCACTACCATCTGCACCAGAGGAATGGTGGAACAAAACCAACAAAACGTAAATAACTTGCGAGAGTGTTGCTTGTGTGACTAAGTATCATACAGCTTAAGGCCTCATGTTTTGGCTTCTAGGCGAACGTTTTGGTTTTATTTACGAAGTGTTTGGGGGGAAATGGAGGCATGGTATTGGAATGGGGTAATATTCCATGGAGCGAGAAGTGCCGCTGTGCCTTACTTGACATAGATCAGTATCTGATTTCAAGCGGAGGTCGGTTCCATCTTTTCGAATCCATCGGAGGATGTTCACCAGTGCTTAGGAAAGTTTGGAGGTTCTGTGCAGGGTTTGAATGAGCTTTGCCTGAGCATAATAAACCCCAAATAGGATATATCTTTCAGTAACCCGATCTCTGATGCTTGGTGAATATCAATTCTTTTTGCATATTTAAAATTTTGGCAGTACGAGGGCATCCTAGGATGATCCTCATTGCTTCGTTCTGCAGTTTTTCCAGCCCTCCAAGCTCCAGTCCAACACAAAGCAAGTAGTGAGGCGCATCATAATCAACCAATGATCTAATCTAAGCAAGATACTCCATTTTCACTTTTAACATTAGCCACCATACCTGGGGTGAAGCCCTGCCACAACTTCTAAGTGGCCCTAGTGTCGTTCTTTGATTGCGAACAAAGTCTGTTACCACACAGGTCCCAGTATGGAACCTCAAAGCCTAGATTCCTGTAATCTGCTATACATATTCTAGAAGAAGACCCATCATGCAATTGGATCTGACGAACTGTGCCTCTCTGTCGAGGAGACGCTATTGATTAACTTTGTTTTTATCAGTAGAGATTATCAACCCCAGGGCCTGACACAGGCTAGTACATGAATTAAGAATGATTTGGGTGTATGGAGAATCCGGAGGTGTGAATCATTATATCATCAGTCAAAACTAATCACATAATTTCATGGGCTGACTCGGCAAGCATAGTAATTCATTAATTAGAAAATTGAACAGTGTATGGACTGAGCACACCTCCCTGGTGGTTCCTACTTCAAAGTCTTTAGTTACACTTCTATTTCCCTGACAACACAGACGATTTCTGTGGACAGTACCTTTAATCCAGCGGAGAAGCCATCCTCCAACATCCATTCTGGAAATTCACTAATTATAACATGTCGGTTGGCTACATCGAAAGCGATTAAGGTCAAGGAAGGTATTAGGAACTGTCAGTGAGCAGGGTGAAGAAAGGTGGCTATGCAATGATGCAACGCTCCTTCCATGCATGAAACCCAGTAACCGGGAGACAAAATTGTTTTGATTCTGTACAATTAGACATTAAGAAAATCATTCTCTCAAATGTTTTAACACAAGCAGCTAGTAGGACTATTGGGCAAATGCATTTGTTGAATGGGCTTAGGAAGTGGAATGATGAGGCTGTTGGTCCAAGATTGAGGGAGCTCCCCAGTATACATAGCTCATGTTATAAAATTCAAGTAATGGATTACCTGGTACTCGACACAGCAATCGGAGTATGTTGTAAGTAATACCATCCTCACCAGCGACTTGGAGTTGCCCTAGTTTAGCCTGATCAGTTCAATAATTAGTGAAAAGGAATGTTGGCAATCAATCTGCCATTACTGAGCATAAAAGCAAACAAGTCTCTCCCTTGCATCATATAAACCAAATTTAATTTTTGCCCTGTGTGGTACTGGGAAATTGTCATAGCTAGATGTAAGCAGCCCAAGCTAAAACACTGACTAACTCATATCGCCCGATGCAATCGATGAGGGGTGCGCGATTGCCCAGTTCGTTTAAACCCTTAATTCTATTTATGTCCCTCCATAGCCCCGGCTAAGTGGGTGGTGATCATTAAGACCGTTTGACAAATTTTCCCATCGGTTCTGCCGCAGCCTGTCATACGCTCTCTGGCAGCAAGCACAGGGCAGTTTGGAAAAGAGCCCTCACCAGCATTCCAGGTACGATGTTTTCCTAAGGCTAAGGCCTAGTCAGGCGAGCATACGTTTCAGCTGTACGAATAAGAAACATTGTAATAAGTATGGTTTTTGAAGGAGGTATGATTATTACGGAAGTTTGTTGGGTTTAGAGTACCAAGAGGTTGCAGTGGCGGCTCTAAGTAGTTCTGAATACTGCTCACAAGATCATTGTTAAAGGTCTCTACAGAGGAACACTCATAGGAATTATACCAGTCATGATGTTAGTAATAGTGATGACCGTAATATAAGTGGTGGTGAAGAGTGTGATGAGGGCTATGGTGTCTATAATGTTAGTAATAGTGATGAGCATAATTTAAGTGGTGGTGAAGAGTGTGATGAGAGCGGTGGTGTCTATAATGTTAGTAATAGTGATGAGCATAATTTAAGTGGTGGTGAAGAGTGTGATGAGAGTGGTGGTGTCTATAATGTTAGTAATAGTGATGAGCATAATATAAGTGGTGGTGCAGAGTGTGATGAGGTTAGTCCACATAGACATTAATGTTGAATACAATACTGTTGACAAATGTAATGAACACAATGTTGGTAGTGGCGCTGGTGATGACAGTTGTAGTGTTGCGTGTAATGTTAGCGGAGGAGGGAATGTGAGTGGTGGTGGTGTCACCTATCATACATTCACACATAAACAGCGTCATGCTCTGGGTTTACGAAGACTCCCACGAGGCCTTACAACTGGAGGTGCACTTGCAAAACTCATGGACAAGGGTAGCACTGTTGACATTGATAAGGTCTGCTATTTATATGAACAATTTTTTCATTATGCTGAGAAACTCAAGATGATCCCAGGACTACTATAATGGATCAAAACTCGTATAAACTTTCTATATTAAGCTGGAATATTGCATCACTTAGAAAAAGGCTTCCTGAATCTCGATATCTGAGAGTAAATCTAATTTGTTTTGGATATGTGCATGATACGAATAAGAGAACAGACGGTTTTCTTAGTTGATGGTGGGATGTCTTGGGGAGATTTAAGATGTTTTTTAACGGTAGTTTAGAACTGCAGAATCGACCACCATTTTCAAGAGTTTTCAGGCAGGGAGTTCCAGATTTTAGGCCCTTTTATGAACATTGAATTTTTGTATATAGATTTAACCGAACACTGGGAACGTCAGAGATTTTTGTCTGGTGGTATTGTCTATGGGTCCTGTCAGCTATCAAGAAAGTGTTAGTTCAGGGTTAATATTGGAATTTGTGGTTCTGTAAGCATAGGTTGCACAGTAGTATGTGGGAATGTTCTGTACAGTGAGTAAATTTAGGTCTTTGAAGAGGGGGGGGGGGGTTGCCTAGCATTTGATTGCACGATAATTCTTACTGGGGCTTTTTGTTGGGTGATTATTGGCTTCAGATGGGTTGCTGCTGTTGATCCTCAGGCACAAATAGCGTAGGTGAGGTAAGGATAGATGAGTGAATAGTGTGAGTACGGCTGATTTGGATACTTAGATGGGATCCCAACTACGTACTACAAAGTGTTGGATATGGGTGCTGAATTTCAGGTTGCTGTCAAGATACTGGCTCAGCAGGTGTTGCACGAGGGAAAATTCCTTTGTTCCCAAACATGTTCACCAGCTGTCGTCCAGGTTGATATTTTTATTGAGCTCTTTGTTAACACCACTGTTGAGTGAGGCAAGATTAGGTCGTGTCATCAGCAAAGAGAATGTTTCAGGTGTTGGTACCAAGTCGTGAAATTGAAAAATATATACTTCAAACTACTACTAATAGCAGTATTGAGGCCGTTCACCTCATTACTACTATTGTTAGTAGGGTTGGGGTAGCTATTTTTTTTTTCCCCAGAGCTTAAAGCTCCCGAATTGTGTGAATGTTGTCCTGCTGACAAATACAGCAGTTGAGGCTTGTCTCAAAGTTTTCATTTTTCTGTGTGCTCTTTGAACACGCGTGTGTTCCTTGAACATTACTATGATAAGAGCAATAATTAAAATTTGATATTTTTTTTCTTAAAGTTTATCGAATCTTATAGGTTGAAAATATTGTTGTGGGCAGCTGCTGTGTGGCGAAGTCCGTGTTGTGGGCAGCTGCTGTGTGGCGAAGTCCGTGTTGTGGGCAGCTGCTGTGTGGCGAAGTCCGTGTTGTGGGCAGCTGCTGTGTGGCGAAGTCCGTGTTGTGGGCAGCTGCTGTGTGGCGAAGTCCGTGTTGTGGGCAGCTGCTGTGTGGCGAAGTCCGTGTTGTGGGCAGCTGCTGTGTGGCGAAGTCCGTGTTGTGGGCAGCTGCTGTGTGGCGAAGTCCGTGTTGTGGGCAGCTGCTGTGTGGCGAAGTCCGTGTTGTGGGCAGCTGCTGTGTGGCGAAGTCCGTGTTGTGGGCAGCTGCTGTGTGGCGAAGTCCGTGTTTGGGCAGCTGCTGTGTGGCGAAGTCCGTGTTGTGGGCAGCTGCTGTGTGGCGAAGTCCGTGTTGTGGGCAGCTGCTGTGTGGCGAAGTCCGTGTTGTGGGCAGCTGCTGTGTGGCGAAGTCCGTGTTGTGGGCAGCTGCTGTGTGGCGAAGTCCGTGTTGTGGGCAGCTGCTGTGTGGCGAAGTCCGTGTTGTGGGCAGCTGCAAGTCTTCAGAGATATCACCAGCAGCAACACACCAAAGTAATGTCTGCAAAAATAAAAGTATGGACATACTAATTTTTCATGAACTGCAGTAAGCAATAGTTTGCAGTCTATGTACTTAGAATGTTTCATTCAACATTTGTACAAAGAAAAATTACTAAAATATTTTCAAAGCTGGTCTGTCAAAAATTACTATGAAATTGGAGTAATCCAAGTTTAAATTACCACAGGGTGATGGAACTGGAAGAGCTGGAGGTGTTGATGGTGTGGTGGATGGCAGAGGAGTGGCTAGTGGCGCCACTATTCTTTACCTCCATGGCTAAATGGCGCCAATGACCTGGAGGAGGAGGAGGAGGAGGAGGAGGAGGAGGAGGGGGGGGGTGATGTCAGTGGTTGTTTGTGGGGAGGGTTGGGGGTTGGCTGCAAGTGGAGGGGTGAGTAGTTAGTTGTTACTGGTGCAAGGGTGATGGGGAGGGGTGGGTAGGGGGGATTGTTGTCACTTGGTAATTACTAAGGAACTAACACAGTCTTGTTACTGTGTTAACGTGGCTTGAACCTTGATATTTGAAACTCCCTGGACACTAGCTCAAAGACACTAGTTTGCCACATATTCGTAATTCTAATTAATAATGTCATTGGACTCGTGTTGGAAACCGTCTCTTTGATGGGCATACGTATTTGACATCTTTTGTGGGTTTAGTGCTTAGTTTTGATAGTAGTGGTAAGCCACAGCACTGTCCTCCTTTGTAGATGACACCCGAATTTGCATGACAGTGTCCTCCAATGAGGACACTGCAAGACTCCAGGCGGACATCAATCAAATCTTTAAAATGGGCTGCAGAAAACAATATGAAGTTCAATGATGAGAAATTTCAACTACTACGATATGGAAAACGTGAGGAAATTAAAACTATATCGGAGTATAAAACAAATTCCAACCCCACAATAGAACGAAAAACTAACGTAAAAGACCTTGGAGTGATAATGTCAGAGGATCTCGCCTTCAAGAGACCACAGCTGTATAGCCCTTGTGGCTTAGCGCTTCTTTTTTATTATAATAATAATAATTCAGAGACCACAACATTGTATCAATCGCATCTACCAGAAAAATGACAGGATGGATTATGGTAACCTTCAAAACTAGAGATGCCAAGCCCATGATGACACTCTTCAGGTCGCTTGTTCTATCTAGGCTGGAACATTGCTGCACACTAACAGCACCTTTCAAGGCAGGTGAAATTGCTGACTTAGGAAATGTACAGAGAAACTTCACGGCACACAATTGCGATAAAACACCTCAATCACTGGGAACGCTTAAGTTCCCCGACCTGTACTCCCTAGAACACAGGCGGGAGAGATACGTAATTATATGCACTTGGAAAATCTTAAGAGGAATTAGTACCAAACTTACACACGAAAATCACTCCCTATGAAAGCGAAAGACTTGGCAGATGATCAGGGCCGGATTAATAAGGGGGCAACTGCCCCGGGTCCCCCCTGCCAGAGGGGGTCCACAGATGCACTTTTTATAACAATATAATAATATAAAAAAGTTTAATTTTATTAATCACCCCCCCCCCACACAAAATAGAAAAAAAGGGTGCCCCCACCCCCTCCCTTTGAATAACTTAACTATTTCTGATTAGCATCAGTTTAGAGGTAAATGACCAGACTATGAGATCAGAGATGACCAGGGTGTGCATGTGTGTACTCACCTAATTGTGGTTGCAGGGGTCGATTCATAGCTCCTGGCCCTGCCTCTTCACTGGTCGCTACTAGGTCACTGCTTCATGAGTTTTTACGTATCTCTTCCTCTTCAAAGGTGGGGGGGGGGGGCTCCTTGGCACGGTGAAGAGGCTCTTGGTCTGAGGAATTAATCTTTTGGTCTCATTAGTCAGACTGAACCTAATTACCCCCAGTCCCCCCTATCCTGCCCATCCTCATTCCCCCTTTCCCTATCCCATCCTTCTCATCCCCCTTTCCCTATCCCATCCTCCTCATCCCCCTTTCCCTATCCCATCCTCCTCATCCCCCCTTTCCCTTTCCTCCTCTCCTCCTATCCCCTTCCTGTTTTCAGCCTTTTGGGATTCTCCCCACAGGTCTTCTAGTTCCTAGGTAGGGGGACGGGTACCGTGGTCCATCCCAGTCCATTGGGGTCCTTGGCGGTGGTGTAGTTTACCGTGGAATCTGGATCACCTGGGGATGTCCTGATCCCCCTCTGGTCTCCTGGGGGGGGGGGGTGGCTTTGTCTTTTAAGCGACTGGTGTATCTCTGGAGGCTACCTTTCATATTCCTGGGGGTGCTGGCCAAAGGAGGTATGCTTTGTGACATGTGTCCGGCTGCCCTCTCTGGTGTCCTGGATTGCTGGTTTACTGGCAGGAAGGGTATGGTATGGCACGGGTACCATACCGCATCTACACTTCTTGCGGTGCTGAGGAAGATTTACGGCCCTTTCATTCCTCCTAGGAGCTATTCCTCCATGTTCCCCCCCCCCCCTTTTTTATATTTTTTTTCTTTCCTTTTTTTCTAAAAAACAAAGAAAGTGACCTAACCATGGAGTTCCCAATCCATGAACCTGCTCCCCCCGGGCCCCTTCCTGATGCCGCACCCTGTTCTGATCCTGCCTCGTTATTTGACCACTCTTTGGACATTTCTAATGCCCCTGTACTTCCTGCTGGTGCTGTTTCGACACCTCCCGGTACCGGGGTTTCGACTGACTCGGTACGTCAGAACTCTGGTCTTCTTTGACTATGATTCTGGTTTCTTCCTGTTTGGTGCAGCAATTTTCGGATCGCCTGCTCGTCCCACGTTGGACCAACTCTGGTCCCACACCTAAATGCCCAAGATGATACTTCATTTCCTTCTCATTCTACTCAGAAAAGACCGGCATGTCACGCATTCCTTTTACACGCTGATTCAAAATACACAGTGGACTGGTTTTTTTTTTTTTTCTTTTTTTTTTTTTTTACTCTACAACCGACTTCCTCTACTATCTTTCCAACCTTAGTATTGGCAAGGTGCTCCTATGCCATGTTGGTAGAAAGATATCCTTTCATGCTCTCGAGAGTAGTACATGCATCATCACTGTCCAGAATGCTAACCAAGCTCACGATCTTTCTCTCCTTACATCTATCGATACTATTCCTGTAACTATTGAAAAACATCATTCTTTCAATTCTTGTAGTAGTACCATCATTCTGTCCCATACCATTGTCCAACAGAAGTTCCACACATGTCAGTGACATTTTGGCACAGCTGGAACTCCAAGACCTCCCAATCCTCAGAGTAGACACTTATGTCCTCCCTGCCTGCAGGCAGAAATGATACCCTTGCAGTGTAGCTCGCTTAGCTTTTGACTGCCGTGAGCTCCCGTCCTCTGTATATATAGCGGGACGCCATTTGCAAGTTCGAAGGTGATCCCTACACTGCAACAGTGTAGAAATTGCAGGCATTTTGGTCATCCAGCAAAATATTGCAGGTCCATGGCTGAATGCCCAGTCTGTGGTGCCGACGACAATACCAGTGCGTCTTGTAGTCTACCTCCCTCTTGCCTTAATTGTCGTGAGGTTCGCGCATCTTACTCTTGTTGCCAAGTTTACTTAAATGAGCGTGAAATCCATTGTCTCAAAGGCAGAAGGCCTCCCATATGCTATGGCACTCTCCCTCTTCAAGGGGGGCTCCTTGGCGTGGTGAAGAGGCTCTTGGTCTGAGGAATTAGCCCTGTCGGTCTTCTTCCTCAGACCGAACCTAATTACCCCCCATTCTCCCCTCCCCTATCCCATCCTCCCCATCCTCCCCTTTTTCCATTCCTCCTCCTCCTCCTCACCCCTCCCTTTTGCCCTTCCTCTTTTTAGCCTTCGTGATTTCTCCCACAGGCGCGCTAGTTCCTAGGTAGGGGAAAGGACACCGGGGTCCATCCCATTCCGTTGAGGTTTCTTGCGTGGCGTAGTTTGCCGTGGAATCTGGATTGCCTAGGATGTCCCGATCCCTCTCCGGTATCCCGGAGTAGCTTTGGGTGTCTTTTGGGCGACGGGTGTATCTCTGGAAGCCACCTTTCGGATTCCGGGGGTGGTGGCTGAAGGAGGTATGCTTTGTGGAGGATATCCGGCCGCCCCTTCTTTTGTCCACCGAGGTAGCTCGGTAATGTGAGGTTGCTATCCCAGAATTGCTGGTTTACTGGCATAAGGGTAGGGTATGGCACGGGTTCCATGCTGCATCTGCGCTACAACCGGTGTCGAGTCCTCTTGGCGCGAGGGAGATTTCTGGCCCTTTCATTCCTCCCAGGAACTATCCCCCCTCCCCGGTCCCCCCTTTTTTTTTCTTTTTTTTATTTTTCTTTTCTTTTCTTCTTTCTTTTTTTTTTCTTAAAAACAAAAAGAAAGAAGTAACCAAAACCCTGGCAGCCCTAGTCCATGAACCTGGTACCCCCCCGGGCCCCTTCTTGATACCGCACCCCGTTCTGACCCCCGCCTCGCTTTGGGCCACTCTTCAGACATTCCTCATGCCTCTGTACCTATTGCCGGTGCTGTTTTCCTCACCCCGCTTCAGGTACTGAGCCTCGACTGACTCCTTCGATTTATCAGACCTTCGCTCTCCTCTGACTATGCTTCCGGCCTCTCCCCTCTACGGGGCGGGAATTTCAAATCGCCGATCCGTTCCACGTCGGACCAACTCTGGTCCCACGCCTAAACGTCAACGACAATTACCTGCTGATGATACTTCTCCACCTTCACCTTCTCGTTCTTCTCCAGAAACGATCGACACGTCCTTCACTAACCTTTCCCCCGTCAGT